GGGATCTGCATGGTGTGGTGGTGAACGCGTTACTCCCCGGAAAGGACAATAGCGCGTTCGTTCGCCACCATAGACACCTGCGGTCCAGAGTTTTAGAAATATCTTAGCAACGTTGTGGTTGAAAAAAAAAGCCAACCAAAAGTTTCGCTTTCATAAAACGAAGCGCTCCGACGTCCAGGCGGAACAGTCGCTGCTTCCAAAAAAGCCATTCAGGGAATCATTCACGCTTATTCACAGTTACTACTCGGGTCTCTACGGCAGCAGCTACATCCTAACCTTATTCAAAATAAAGAAGGACTAATTTGTCGTCTCGCTAGTTTTTCCTTCCGAAATCGGACCTGCTATTTCATCGCATAGGAACCGTAGTACACCTGGTCCGAACAGAAAAGACCTGAAGAACATTACCCATCTTCTCATTAGCACGCTGGCAAATTTTTCACACCTTACGTGTTAGAATGCACGGTTCCTGTTGAATAGATATCCAGCAGGGCCATGTTGTTGTAGATACGCATCAGCAGATGTGAGATGATGGCTAATCTACGCGTTGCTGGAGCTTTTTACTCATTGTTACTGGTTTCGTGAAGCAACACTCATGACGTGTGAGTGGGCGGGAAAAGAGTGAGAAATGGGATCAAAAGAGAAATGGGTGAAAACGTGCCGAAAAAGGCGTGGGCACAAAAATGGAAACCGCAAAGAATGCAAGCTTTCGCCTTAACAAATGAGTCACAACAAGTGGAATGGAGTGGTATGAAAGACGAGATCAGTTTCAACAAAATAATTCCACTTNAGTACACCTGGTCCGAACAGAAAAGACCTGATCACTTGAAGAACATTACGCATCTTCTCACTAGCACGCTGGCAAATTTTTCACACCTTACGTGTTAGAATGCACGGTTCCTGTTGAATAGATATCCAGCAGGGCCATGATGTTGTAGATACGCATCAGCAGATGTGAGATGATGGCTAATCTACGCGTTGCTGGAGCTTTTTACTCATTGTTACTGGTTTCGTGAAGCAACACTCATGACGTGTGAGTTGGCGGGAACAGAGTGAGAAATAGGATCAAAAGAGAAATGGGTGAAAACGTGCCGAAAAAGGCGTGGGCACAAAAATGGAAACCGCAAAGAATGCAAGCTTTCGCCTTAACAAATGAGTCACAACAAGTGGAATAGAGTGGTATGAAAGACGAGATCAGTTTCAACAAAATAATTCCACTTCGTGACGGATTACAGGCAAATGTACGAGAAGCAGCTGAATTCAAAGAGCGTCGAAGCTGGAACTTAACAACGGCTTTCTGTTCATCGTTCAAGAGGTCTGAACTGTGCCTTACCGACAACAAAGCAAAAGAAAATTTGAGACCAGGTCTTACTGCTTCATTAATCAAACTTCTCAATGTTAACAGCGTGCTACAGAAAACCCAACCAGAATTATTAACGGAGAAAAAAAAGACGAATAAATGCCAGAAGTGGACTTGAGAGCAATTAAAACGTCCTTCTTGAAAGAAAACTATGCCAAATTTACTTTATTGAATAACCTAAACATATATTTTCTCCGGAATGTGGAGCGAACTACAGGAAGGCCACATGGCTAGTGTTCTCGCAGAAAGACCGAGCAGGTTCCTTATTAAGCGGGGCCTTAATATACCTGGTATTGCTCTCATTGATAATAGACCACCAGACTTTCGTATTCTACGGCTTGAAAGCTCTGGTTAGGTACATGATAGAGCGCTCATAATTTCCAGAGCCTCGGTGGAATTGCACTGTTTTGTTTTGTAAAACTTCTACATCTACGTCTACATCTTCATTTTCTTTTTTATTACATTACATTACATTACTTCATTAACTTCTTCATTCTACTTCCTCTACATTACATTACTTCTTTACTTCTACATTGTAATTAAAACAATATTCTCACCGATAAAAGATCTCCGCTTTGCAATCGAGCCCGTTTGTTACCAAAACCAGTGTTCTGTAACATTTTCAGTACTACCACGTTTTTCAAACGCTTCCAAATATCAAAAGTAGCATAATAACGACTACGGTTGTGTTGACACAGGCGCAGTTACCGTACCACGTTGGCAGTCTGTACTCCTCGCCGTCGCACACGTTTCATCGAATTGCCCGCATAAGAAACGGGTTCAGATTTCCACTTGGGTTTACAAGAAGTACTTGCTCCTTTTTTCCTTCGTGAATTTTGCTGCAAAACTTCCACTGTAAACACGGAACTTGTTGCAAATCACTTCTGATATAACGTCGTTTGAACAATTACACACAGCAACCCACCACAAAAGCTGTCATGTTTCTTTTTTCTAATCCTCTAAACGTGTTCTATGGAGAAATCCAGAAATGGGTTCTTGCTAAAATGTTCTTTCAACGCTGTCGTAGCGCTTTCTGCGCACTTTGACATTTGTTCAAAAATTTGTAGACTTGAAACAAATGGCAATCGTATGTGAGGCGACACATGAAACACACCATCAATAACCAAATATACTGCAGACCAATCTCCTGTAGAACTTCGGATGAAGCTAACCTGTGATGGCGGTGAAAGCTTGCTTCCTGTTACATTATTTTGACCTTCGGACAGCTCAGTCTTTACCCATAACCTCTCGCCGTCATCGATAGCTGTAAACGTCGGATTTACCACTGCGCTGAATGCTTTCTTTCTCTTCGATGGCGACATCCAATGTGCGTTAACCAACAAGGAGGTCCGCCAAGCTGACAAGTAGTAGGCTATTTCCTTTCGGAAGAACAGTGAACCACGATTAGGTATCGTCGCCGTACTAGTGCTAAACTAGTTGCAAGGTGGCACTAAGCTTCCTCTTATCCTCAAGGAGAGGGACTCTCTGGCGTTATGAAAACATGAGGAAGGTTTCGGCTAGACTAATCTCAATATTCCTGGAAGCCACAATGGCTCAACTGACAAAAACTCAGACTCAGTACCATGCACATTGGGTGCTGCTGTCTAGGGTGCAGCAGTGAAGCAATCGGTAAGAGGAGATCAAATCTCGGGGTGCACCGAGTGTGCAGACAAAACAGAGCACACCCACTACATGCTATGAAGAATGCTTCTTGCAGCCTATCGACCACCGGAACAGTGTTTTCAGGCGCTGATATTCACCCACCTTTTTAGCCCACTGGTCCAAATTCTATGTTATCGCCATACAAGAGAGGAAAAGCAGTGAGACAGAACACGTTAGTTAGATGACGGAAACATTGGGATAACTGGATGAAGTATTTTGCTGCAAAATATGGTAGACATTGGCTTCCTCATCGTAAAATCCTTTCGCGGCTCTTTGTCATTCTACGTCTCCAACTTGCGCGTCACGAGAAAGTCAATATCAACAGCTGCTACTCACCAGCTTGTACACCTATGAAGGTGAACTCGACGCATTCTACAGCTAGTTGGAGAAATTGCTTTACTGTGAAGAATTCTTTTATACAGTCGTTGTTCGAAGCTCCAATGCCAGATAGTGGGCGGTGAACGAAAATGAATGCAGAACAGAGAGAAAGAGGAGAAAGACGAACGACTTGTGAATGGAAATTGTTCTGTAGGACTCACATGCGCACTAGGTTTAAATGCGAATCCATTTTTTGAGGTAAGAGACCATCGGTAATGGACGTGGGACTCTTTGAACTGCTTCACTCATGCGAAGATTATCCATATTTTGATGAACAGACGCTAGCGCTCCTTTAGCATCATAGTAGTTTTAAAATCCCGCATTTCTGGCCACAAGCTGTGGAAAGGTTTTCGCATCGAGTGACGAACGAGACAAGTCGTGTTGACGAGAACAACCCAAGTAAAGCCTAAAAAAAGGATAGGGCTCACGGCTTTGATCAATCCCTGCGGATAGCTCCATGCATTTGACTTTATCAACTAGAGATGAATGAATGCATATTTGGCTTATACAATGACTCAGACGCGACACTTCAATGAGTCTTGTTATCGTGTGGACGTGGTCCAGCCTGCTGAATCCTCTTCGGAGCCCTGCTTACCCACATGGCTGTACTTCACATTGTGTTCTGTAAATACTGTTTAGGACTACCCCAGTAGAAGTTTGTGAATAAAAGGCAGCAGGCAGACTAGGTGATTTGTTGCCAATATTTAGCAGGTTATCCTTCTTGAACAATAGCACGGTCTTGCTACCCTTCCCCTGAGTAGCGACGTTCCATGCGGACAGGTAACATGTGAGAAGCCGAACCAGTGTCCTTGCGAGGAAGAGCGGATGGTTGTTCGAGTGTTTAGATCTTCTCATTTCCGGATCTGGCGTCGTTCCATTCTCCACCGACGAAATACATTTTGGATTTCAGAAAGGAGAAATACAGAACGAGATACCCGTTTTTTTAGGTTTCTTCGGCCAAGAGTTGAAATTAGGGCTTATGGGATCGCAAGTTAAAATGAATAGTACTTCATCGACTAGGCAAAATCAGAGGGCCGCTCACCATTCTTGTTCCATTCTAATCCGTAGGGCTCAATGCGACGTTCTTCAGACCATCTTCTAGGTACAACTTTAGCGTAAAATCTCCAGTGTTTACTTCCTCGAATGTACGTCGTTCTTTGAAAGACTTTCTGGATCCCATATAGCACGCTTCGAATTCGTTTTCATCATAGCTAGATGTCACCCATATGTCGAGAGAGAAAAGCGAATAGAAGTTATCGAAGAAATTATTCTTTATTTTTAGGAAAACGGCAAGTTCATTAAGGCCCAAAATTTGGCGTGATCCAGTC